CACAAGCAGGTAATCCGCACATCATTATTACTTCACATTCGTCTTTCTTCTCTGGCCTACGCGGACCAGGAGTTTTATATTGAGATTCCACATTTCCAATTGAAACGTAATCTTGTAAAATTGCTTCTGTCCATGGTGTTTCTTGGCCAAAGTTGCAAGCGAAACTACAATTTTTACTCAAAATATGCGGAAACAATGGTTTGTCATTGAGTTCTTCTTTTGAGATATGAAATGCTACGCCTTGATCTTTTCCATTGACTGTATAAGACATAATAACATTTTCGGATGTTGCATCCAAATAACAACCGATTATGTCGTCTTTTCCAAATTCAAGCCCATAATCTTCGTATTGATTATCTGCCAATTTTTTACCAGTGCTGCTATATCCAAAACTAAATTTTTCTTCACCAAGTTGCATTGAAGTATAAGGAGTGGACCAACCAATTCTGAGTACATGTGGATGCTCTTCGTTTCCTGAATTAATAGTACAGTGTTCCACTATTTTTGTTTCATAGTAAACCTTCCCACAAAGAAAACCATAGGATGCTCTTGCTCCAGCCCACATATGTGAAAATCCGTCGTTATGCATAGGTGTAGCAGTAAAATATCCATCCTTATCAATAACCAAATTTAAATCTGAGTCATCTGAAAATTGTTGATAATAATTAAACATTTGTTTTATATGATTCAATCAGTTACTTTCATTTAGTTTTCAACATACACCAGGATAGTATTAAAGCAGAATCATCGATTTCTGGTTCATTCTCAATGAGAACAGGAGCCGGTGACTCGTGTCGATCTTCTATAGGGCTAGGAGATCTTTTCCGCTTCCTATCCAGAACAATATCGTTTGTATCTTGTTCTTTGATATCTACATCAGCATCTTCTTCGTGTCTAACGTCTGACATTTCTATATCCTTTCCATATAAACGAAAATAAGTCAATGATTAAAAATAATATTTCTTGCAGGTACAGTAAGCCTTATGTGTAATAAAATATAGAGGAGGTAATAACTTTTTGAAAACATTGGCGATTTCAAACGATTATCAACGAACATTTTCTATTCTTCTATACCAAATGTAATTTTCAAACACATAAAATTTTCAAACATTAAAGTATAAACGTAAATTTATACGTCTCCGATATTTTAAGAAGCTCTTAACTGCAATCCTCTACATTTTGTAATGAGATACCGGATTATACCGGATAAAGTTTATAGCAGATAAAGCCAATAAATGTTGCAAAAATGTGAAAGAGAGATTTTAAATGCTGCTAGAAAAAAATCAAAGTAAATTTAAAATAAAAGCATGAGTAATATGCATATTATAATTAGAAATTAATATATAAAATATACCTCTTCATCTTGCTTTTTCTCGATGCTAATGTCCATCTCTTTGTCGCTAGTAGACAAGATGTCTTTATCTTCTAGTAACTTCTCCTCTTTTAATTCATCATTTTCATTGATATCTATGTCTTGATCTTCTTCAAGTAACTCATTTATTTGTTGTTCTGGGTCAGGAATGTCAGTAGCTTTAGTATCATTAACAGATTCTACAACATGATCATTATCTACAGATTCTATATTTTCATCCTTTATTTCATTATCTTCTTTTTTTATATCATCTATATCATTGCATGTATCATAAATTATAGTTGATTTCTCATTTTCTTGTACTTTTGAAACAATATTCTCACTTTCTTTTATATGTGTGTTTTCTACTGCTTCTAGGTTTGATTTGGTCACTGTTGGTCCTTGTTTTAGATCTGTTTCATTTTTATTATCTAATGATTCCATTGGTGTTGGAACATCAACATCGCTATACTCAACATTTTGTGATTTCACGGGAGATGCTTGCGATATACTTGTGTTTTTTTCTTTCTCACTGCTTTCTATAACATCTGTATCCTTTATATCATCTTCTTTTACAACTTCCATAGAATTAGCATCTTTATTTTCTATACTTGAAAATAAATCTTTTGTTTCTTCTTGTTCATCCTTTTTAGGTGATAAAGGCTTTTCTTCTTGAACAGAAGCCTCTATTTGTACAGATTCTTCCTGCATAGACATTTCTTCTTGCGTAGCACTTTCATCCGGCATAGTTTCCTCTTGCATAGCAGATTCAGATACTGTTGGTGATGGTTCACGAGACATGTCATTCTGATCCGCTTTCTTTGGAGATGTCCTCCGCCTGCTAGAGTATGGAATTCTAGTAGTCCTCCTAGAGGATTTTTTTGTAGAATCTTCCTTTGGCGTCATCACAGATGCTGTTTTTGACAATCTACTAGACTTTTTTGGTGTCTGTGGTATTTTTGTCGATTCATCACTTTTTTCTTGAACAGCATCATCTTGTGTGTCTTCTGCACTGATATTTGCTTTTCCTTGATTTACTTCTACAATTTAAAAGTATTTACGTTGCATTAACTCGCAAAAGAATAGAGAATATTCAAAAATATAATACTCTTAAAAAAATGCAACATTTATACTAAAATATTTATTTAAATAACGGGTACTGCGTATTTACACTCTAATTGTAGATATGAATAGAAAAAGTAACGGCATAAAATTTTGCTAACTAAAACCTACGAGATGTAGTGGCGTCGCGAGCACAATTCACACGTAAACAGAAGAAAGGCGCGCATAGTTCGCGCCTACTCAACATTGGAAATGCCGATAACAAATTCTTTACGATTATTGATCATTTTTAATAACGATAAACAGGTTATCGTCTTCCATTCTAAGATAATTTAACGGAAAAAGTTAATAATACATGTTAGACGACTTATTATTGGCTCGTTTGAATGTTTGTCAACATTGAAATACACGAATACCTTGGTCATCGGACGAAGAGTATCATACTTAAGGAAATTTGGAGCATTGTAAGATTAGAGAATAAAAATATAGTGACTTACGGTTTGCATTTTCCTCTTCTATCGCCTTACGAAGTCTCTCAACAAGCACTGACTTGACGCCTTTCGTATCGAGTCCACGCTTTGAGAGTTCTGTCCTTAATTCGACCACTTTTAACTTTTCCGGATCCATCGCGTGTTATATTTCACGGTTCTTGTCAATGCACGCACTTTTATTCAGCAGAAAATCTTATGAAAAGGCCATACACGCGCCAGTGACCCGCGTTAAATATACAATATGGCGATACATCTGCAAACAACGCGTTACGTGTTGTAAATGGATTTTATTGGTCAATGTGGCATTTATTTGAACTAACGCCAACTTCACTGCTAATGGAATTATTTGTTCTCATTGCGGTGGTAGAGTGTGGTAATTCTTATTGGTTCTCCGAAGGCGGGATTTTATCGGATTTGTTGAGAAGTTACGTATGTACACGAGATTCGTAGAGTCCGCTGGTTGCATACAAATTTGTGAGTTATAGTTGTCACACTTGTAAAATGTACCATTTTTTGGAGTTGGTGAAACCAGGTGAAAAGAATAGAAAAGAAGTGATATTTTTAAAAATTCTCGCTAGTCATTGAGAATTAAAGCTAAAGGCATTTACAGCACGAAAGAAAGTGGATCTTCACCGTTCCATTCTTTTATCTCTTTCTTTTTTTTCCAATAATTTACGAGCAGCGATCGACTTTTAAGATAGAATCATCGCACGGTAACCTTAATCTTATAGAGAATATAGCACCTTTGCTATTGTTGCTTATGTTTATCGAAAATTTATCAGGCTTCCATATCTTCTGATTTTTAACAGCTATATAATGACGGCAATAAATGTGAATTGGTTGCATTCTGTCGAGGGAGAATCACTAATGCATCATTTCTATGTAAACACATCAAAGAAAAGGAGATTTTATGGTAAAATGCGTTAGTCAAATGAATGATTCTTCATTGTATACATTCGTTGGTTATTTTCCTTTGTAAAATCTCTTAGGTATTCTTGAAAGACCTCCCCTACCATCTTCAATCGAAGAAGTTACATATAAAATTTTTATGGTTGGGAGATCTGGAGTAGGGAAAACTGCTGTTGTAGCTCGTCTTGCTGGAGTATTAGAATCCAGTAATTATACTGAAACTAATGGGATAAAAAAGACGAATGTATTTTGGCCGGTTAAGATATGGGACAAAGTTGTGTTGTTTAAATTACAGTTCTGGGATACCTCGGAAACAAGCATAAAAAAATATAATCACATATTACCCGTACGTACAGTATAAAGATAGGATATATCGAAATGGGATAACGAAGAATGACATTGTTTTAAATTTCTAGGCTTGTAAAGACAAAGTAGATGCTATATGTTCTGTATTTTCTTTCGACGATGCGACAGGATTTAATGACGTTCCATATTTGGTGAATACTATGGCAGCTATAAAAGAAAAACCTGCAAATATAGTGATAGGGACAAAGTAATTTATCATAATCGAGTTCTCTTTTCTTTGTTATCTGTTGGTAAGAATAGTTAATTGGATCTCGATATTTTGTAGATTTAAACCATGGTCGAGTTCTACGATAGAAGACACACGTATAAAAGAATTTGAAGACAAATGGAAAGTAAAAGTTATTAGAATTGATATTAATAAACCTTCTATGAGATCTGAAGTGTTTGATTGTTCTTATCAGTTGAATACTATATGTAACATTCTTTGGAATAGGGATAAAGAATTTATATCTAAACAAATGGGACAAAGCTAGCAAATTTTTTATTGGATTTCTATAATACTCCGAAACATTTTTTATACGAGATTTAATAAAGGTAAACGCTTAATCATTTTCTTTTGCATCGATTTTCTTTCTATTTAAATAGAATAGCGATTCTGTTTCAATTGGTTGTTTCAATCAGGGCAAGAAATATTCTCAACATCCCAACACAATGTATCTAGGAATTCTGGGCGAGTAAACGTTGTCAGTACTGAAAGCTAAATTCACGAGCGTTACGCTTGTTTGTTACAATTACTGGCGGCAAAGTTACCGATTTACCGATTCGATTGTTTCTTTTTCCACAAAACAGACATTACGACACTTTAGAGATCTTAAAGGTACATGTGCAGGTGTGTTGCATCGTATTCATGATTATACAACACAATCGAGAGATTAGTAACATTATTCGATTTACACTAAAGTTTTATTATTTAGGTTATAGTATTTTAATGTGTAGATTCTATATTTCCTTAAGTATTACTTATCTCCAACGGTACTTGTAAATTCGGAGAAATCTTATAAATATTTATCCGTTTGTCAGTTACGTTATTGAACGATGATATTTTGATTGGTTTTTCATTACTGACTCATGCGCTGTAAAACATGGCGTGGTTTACAAGCGCGCGTAAAACAAATCACTACCGCGAGATAGACCGATAAAATTTCCGTGGTATTACGTTATATTTTTATTTGTAAATGTAAAATATAAAGTTTTGTTGTAGAGATGAAAAACAAAAAAATTCTGCTAGTGGGGGGAGCAGTTCTTGCGTCGGAAGTTCTTTGGTATATCTACAAAAGAGTTTATAACGTGTGGAGTAATTACCTAAATACGCGCAAAGTGCTGGAAGTACAGATACCTAAGTCGAAACATGACATTTCAGAGGTCATGTTTTTTACGAACGAATCTATTCTTTGTCGAACACACTTCACTACCGAGATGACCTGTCCTAAAAACAATTGTCCGGTTCGATATTTGAGGTAATGCGCGATCTATCATGCTTTTAAAAAATGGCTTTTAACAAATGATAAATAATGTTATAGACATATAGAAAGCTATATGAATAATGCAAAACAAAGTTTGGACGTCTGTATGTACATGTTCACTTGCCATTCGTTGTCAAATGCAATTGTGAACGCTCATAAACGAGGTGTACTTGTTCGAATAATAATGGATCGGCAAATGGGCTCTAACGATGCCGCACAAACGGCGTTATTCTATAATAATGGTACGCGATAAATATCATCGAGACTTGTAGTTGAACTTGATCATTGGCTACCAGAATTTGACTTAATTCTTTTTTTCAAACGCCGAAATATTTTGCGTTTCAGGAATCGCGATTAGATTAATATGTCAGGATGGTCTGATGCATCATAAGTTCATGATCGTGGACAACGATTTAGTAATCACTGGTAGCACAAACTGGACCATGTCTGCATTTTTTGGGAACTTTGACCACATTGTAGTGACTAACCAGCATTCGTTGGTAAAGCCATTCGTCGTTGAATTCGACAGGTTGTGGAAGACATTTTCAAAGAGTCAAGAAAATTAGGAAAACTTGATTCATCCCTCGTCCGATGATACTTTATAATCTAGTGAGTATCCGTTTCATTTTTACTATTTTTCTCCCTGATACTCGAACAATTTTCGTCTCGTCGTATTATATTTGTCGAGTCCCTTCTTGCTGATACCTAACGAAAGACGCGTGTTATCGTCTCGAGAGTGCCCCTTTGACGTCAAAGAAATCGAAGAGGAGGTCGTAAAACTTGGAGGCATGTTAGCAGTTGGAGGTATACCTACATAACGTATGCGAAGATACATACTCGTGAGATAGAACGTGCATGGTACCGATCAACACGTGAATAACGCTATGCAAATTAGTACGGTGCTCTGAGCAGCGGTCAACGCTGATATGTCGCGCCTTGACGCGACATGACGCGCGGTAACTTGCTGCTCTCATCGGCCGATAAAAGTGGAACATTGTCCGTATATATAAATAGGTTAGCCTATATGAAAATAGACGTCGGGCTGTTGGACCGGAGGATCGATGACGAGATACTCGGCGACGTGCCGTCCGTTGCCTCAACTTTCTTTCCCTTCCACTCTGCTTTGAAATTCACGGTCTCGGCGTGCTTTCGTTACGCCTCTACGATATATCGTTTCATTTTCTCTTCCTTCTTTCACATTTATTTTTGTTATTCTATACTCGTCTTCCAATTGTTACAGCCTCTGATCATCGAATTAAGACCACACGTAGAAATTTCACTTGTTCAGCTGTAAGAAGTTATAGATAGCCGTAGATGATTATATATTAATTAATTAATTTAATTTATTACCATACCGTGTCGAAGAATATCCGCGTGTATTCACGGCCGGATAATTCTCCCGATTTGAATACCATTGAAAATGTTTGGAGCCTGATCAAATCAGTTATATGCTCATCTTTAAAAACAGCTGATTTGAAAACGAAAATTTAGTATGTTTATGTAAAAGTAGCGAGGATATAAAGGCAGCGCATGACGAGAAAATAGAAAGAAAATAAATCACGCTACTCGCGTCTCTAGGTAGAAAGGTGAGAAGTATTGAAAATTTGGTAATGGTCCTAATAGAATGATTAGCGTGGTATTTATATATGATAGACCTACATCGAATCGTATGGAACGACGATGAGAAATATAATTGAATCGAACATAGATTCAAATATACTGCTCTCTAATCGCGTTTTTGCTATCTCGTGTTAATTTTGGACGTACGTAGGTAAACATGTTCCTACACGAGATAAATACATTCGCACGTTGTAAGAGAAGCATGTAACTTGGGAAAGCAAACGATTCAGAATAAACGTGCGACGCGCGGAAATAGCAACGCGTAGGCCCAAAATATCCATTGTATCCAGATACGATAAAAGCCGAATGCACGTTGGCGCAGTTTGACGTTTGCTAATCTGCTTTTTCCTGGACTGCGTCTACGTCAATAGTTAAGAACGGATCGTTATTCAGGGAAATGTACGGTTCTCTAACTCGAACGTTGCTTGTTCTGCTTGCGCGAACAATTTCCGAAATATCACAGCCAACGATTCTGCGAAACGTTCGCTTCTGTCTCGAATCGCGTAATAAATTTTCCGATTCCACTTTAGTTTCTACCGTGGATAAGTTTGAAGAAATCCACGTACGTTACACGCACATCTTTCTCTCGAAACCTCTCGGATTGTATCTCGCAAAAGAATGTTTTTTGTTTACTCGTCGCGCGTTTTTTGTTTTTGCGCGTTTACTCGTCGAAACGATTACGATATACTACGTTATACATATAGAAAATAAGTACGATACTTGACAAATGGAAAAAATAGGTATCACGTAGGTCAAGGGTGTGTCAAATCGGACAAGTGGCACGTTCGGCCGCGACAGTCACGGATACGGGAAAAGGAAAAGGTCAAAAGTCAAGTATTCCTCGATGGTCCTCTTAGTTGCTCTCTTTTCTACTTGAGACGCGGGAATTGAAGGGCAACGAGAAAGAAAAATGTTTCGCGTGCGGGTAGCAGCTGCGTTCGTTAGAACTTTGCGGAATATGCGACAATCTTTTTTTCTCCGCCCAAGGAAACAGACTGCATTCGGTAATCTTCGTTTGTTACGTTCTTTGAATAACTTTTTCTTCTCTCTTTTTGTTTCGCTACAGGTCTGATAAAATTGCGAGAAATGCTGTTTCCTGAATGTAGTTGGGAAAGAGACTAGAGCGACTCGAGGGAACACTATCTTACGTAGATTATTTCACAGATAATTGCAATTATTTATGTTTAATGTATTTATTTCGATATCGTTTATATAGAAAACATTGCTTCGCGTTAACGGAGGTCTAACGCGTTGTTGCTGCATACTTCTTCCCTTCTATCTGTTTTGTTTATCGTTCGTAACGTTTCTACAAGTTTGCTAATTACATACAAATTTCGCGTCACGCGGGGGAAGAACCGTGTTACGTATGTGTAGCTTGCTGTTTTGTGGTAATGTAGCTCTACCAAATTGTGTACCATCGATCATTTCTATATAATCGCTCCTTCTACCGATAAATTGCTAGAAGAATATATGCGTGCTATGTGTATACATACGCTATATCGCTTAACGACACTAAATACCGCTTAATCTCTGTTCCGAGTTCTTCCAAATTCGCTCCATCTTCGTCTCGAGCGTTTCGAACGTTCTTCGCCTGTTTCTTTCTCGCATCTTCATACGTTTACACGATGGAACGAATTGTTCGATTTCACGCAAGGCCTCGTACAGTGACCCCTATCGGTTACCGTTCGTTAAACTATAGTATAATTATCATAATGTAATAAATTACTAGGAAATCCGCAGTCATTATTGTCTCTATAGTCGACACCGAAAACACCGATCGCAGTTACGCTCGCATTCGCCGCAGTCTTAACGAATTTGTTTTATCACATACGTTTCGTATTCTTTACTGGAAAGGAAGAGAATCGCCCGTAATTTCGCGTTCATCGCACTCGGCTATTTCCTACAGTTTTTAGGCAATTCTCGTCGTCGAAGATTCGTTCACGGGACAGGAAGTGTACGAAAAGATGCCCGTACGTGATAATATATACATGTCTGTGTATATACGCACATACATTTGTCGATAATTGGTCCGCTCGTAGAGAAGATTGATGTAGCGAGGAGTCTAGCGAGGAAAGGAAGAGAAAAGAAGAAGGAAAATGAGAAGAACGGCGTTACGCGAATGAGTTGAATGGGCACGATGAGCAGGAAACAAAGGAGGAAATGTGTAACGAGTGGAGAAAGATGATAGGAAGGATTATCACACGTTTTCGCGTCCATATCGGTCGTCGGACGAAATTCGACGCGACGCCACTGTGCAGAAGCGACGATGCACCGTCCTAATGGAAGATCGATGGCGAGTTGGTCGCCGCTCTTTCGAACGTTGCTTTGGCACATTGTAGGGACGACGAAGCGTCTTCGTCGCGGGCAGCATCGAAGCCACCGAAACTGTACTTTCGTTCCTGACGATCGCTTCTAAGGCAAGGTTCGCTAGAAGCTTTGACCATCCCTCACATGGTTTCTGTCCCGAGGCTACCGACGAAAGCCGGCTCCGCGATGTTCGAATCGCACTGCATCACCCATTCCCAGATCCTCTTGGTCACGACTTTCTGATCGATCGTCGTCTCGAGGCCGTAACTGTTGAGAAGCTTCCTCAGCTTGTTCTTGTTCTCGTCGACGTTTCGTTGGTCGTCTAGGACGGTGTCCAGGTAAAGTAGACTGTCGCCTCTCCTCGGTATTCCTTCGCTGGCGTCTACCAACGTAGATGTGGCGCTGTGACTGATTTTGTTCACGCACCAGGAATCCTTCAGATACTTGTTGATCTCGGTTACGTGCGGCCTTTTTTCAGGTTTGTGCTCGAACGTCCGCCTGAAGTATCGCAGTAGTCTGGGCGTGAATCGTCTGAACGTTGGCGGAACTTTGGTGGTTCTTCTCTTCAGCCACCTTTGAAAGGCCGAATATTCCGGATCCTGAATCAGATCGGCGGTCTGCCACGGTGGATTTCCAGTCAGACAGACGAACAGCACGATGCCGAATTGCCAGCAATCGGCGCTCCTCTTGCAAGCGTACCTCTCGTTTTTCACTATTTCGTAGATTTCGGGTGGTTGGAATGGTAGCCAGGTGCATCGGATCTTGTTAACGAGAGTTCCTTCGCGCCTCGTGCACCCGAAATCGCACAGTTTGATCTTGGACATGTCGAGCGCGAACACCAGTACATTTTCCAGTTTGATGTCTCGGTGCGCGAGCTGCTTCGAGTGAATGAAATCGAGAGCGGAGCAGAGCTGGTTGGCGATCCTTTTGCACGCTTCCTCGCTCAACCCTCCGGCTCTCACGTTGCCCGCTAGGTCACCGTAGGGAGCGTATTCTTGCGCGAAAACGAAACACTTCTCCGCTTTGAACGCGACCGCGTACGAGCACAGTATATTCGGATGCGGGCTCAAATGGTACGAGTAGTGAAACTCGCGGAAAAAGTCCTTCTCCGTAGTTAGTTCTTGGTGGACGGCTTTCAGCACGACTCTGGTTCGCGTAGCTCGATGAGTCGCTAGTAAAACTTTGGCGAAACTACCCTCGCCGAGCGTCTTCTCCACTTCATACTCCTTCGACAGATCCAACTCCTCCAAAGGAATCTCCTGCACTCTGTGTATTCCGGACTCCTTTTTCTCGTGAAGTTTCATCTGAAATCAGGCCGATAGACCGGTCGTATTAGAATTCTAAGAAAACTTGCATCTCGTATCGTCACCACGCGTACGCGTTAAAATCGATCGGCCTGCCACAAGTTCTTTCACTCGCGTCCCTAATCCTCCTAATTCGAACGTTCGATGAAAAGTCTTTCCATTTCGTTTGCCTCGTCGATGCGCACAACGACAAACCATCGCTGGTGTCGCTGATACGGCCGATCGAGCGTGAAACGCGTTTAGCACTTAGTCGGCTTTCCGTCACAGAGGGCATCGCACTCTCGCTGCTGCGATTCCAGAATCGCCCTTGCCCTTGCTCGTCCAAACGCTAGCCAAGGCGATCGAGTCGCACGAATTTTACATTTTTTCTACATCTAAACGATTAACGGGACGATCCTCTGTTAATTACCTTTTTGTCTCGTACGTCTTATACGCTTTGTTACACGCTTTGTACGAAAATAAACGAGCGACAAGCAGTCGGATCGTTTTCCTAAAGTTCAAGAACGATGTGCGTTTCTTCGTTGTAAAGTCGTCCGAAAAATAGGAGGAAAAATCGTCCTGATGGCTCGTGTAGGCGAAGGACGAAATATGGGCTGGAGAGGCGAGGGGAGAACGCCGGAGGTTGGCCGGGTGAACCCAGGACCTTTTGAGCTGCCTAGATCAATAGCAAGGATTTCGCTGCAGCAACGCGCGTCAAACCGTTTCGTTATAGTTCGTATCGTCTCGATTTCTATTTAAGGTGGAATACGAGATAGAAGAAAAGAGAAACGTCTGGATTCGGGAAATCCTATCGGCGTAGAAAAATTGATTAGTCGATTCAGCCTCGTCTTTGTAACCGATGGCGAGTCACTTTTTAAGACGCTGATTCATTCGCAGAGTAACGATCGACGTTTACAATTCTTTGGTTACGCGATTCGATTTTATCGCCGGTCGTAACGTCGTTACTGTCGTTTCTTCTCGAAATAATTCTTCTCCTGATTTCATCCCGTGCGCACACGTGTCTCGTATCTTTACGCAAATCGCGCTTTGTAGATTCGTAGAAGTCATAGGCGATTATTTTTTCTTACAACTACCGCCGGTTCTTACCGGTTTGTTCTGACAAACTTTTGGACACGAGTTATATTTAGCGTTTCTATTTACCGGGGCTATTTTAACGCGTGCGAGAGATTAGTGAAGTAATATTTTGGCTTGTGTCTTTACGGTTAACGAACACTTTGAGAGAAAGACCGATTAAAAGGCTGAGAAGGCTGAGAGAGAGAGAGAGAGAGAGAGAGAGAAAGAACGAGAGCAAGAGAGAGAGAGAGAAAAAGATATATTTGTATCTGCCGGTTGAGCCACATCTCTCCCTATTATACTCCGTACATTTTATCTCCTTAACGTTGTCCTTAACGTTAATCGCATTGCGTCGCGATCCTGTCGACATCGATGACCATTAAAACTACGTGTTCGATTCGATTTGCTTTACTTTCGATTTAATTTCATCGCGTCACGGCCTTCTAAGTAACTTACCACGTTGGTAGTAATCCTTTGGGCGATGAAAAAGGCGTGTCCGCGGAACGACGAATTAATTTTAACGCAATCGTCCAATTCACTGAAAAGCTTTCACCTTGGAACTTGTCACAAACGATTGTGCGTGCCCCTTCAGTTACATTTTCACTGTGCGTCACGATACGCGATTACGATAAATACCAACGATACACAAGAAGCAAGCGTCTGGGAAATCCTCGCGACAGCCTTCGACGTTTTGGCGATCTTTCACAGAAATTGAAAAAACTGTCAACGATGGTGATAAGAAAACCGCTACGTCCTTCGATGTCACATTTTCAGCTATGCGCGTATGTCGCGTCTGGAGCCGTCGCGACGCCCTGCGTCGCTTTTATAGACCCGGCCGCCACGCGCAGACGTGGATCGAGTAAGGGTATGAAACATGGACGATTAAACGATGCGTGTTTCTATTTTGCAAAAAAACTGTCATTCTCTCCAATTGCTTTCTAAATAATTAAATTATCTTGAATGCAATTACATTTATTTGTCAGATGTTAATTTTCCCGCGTTTTGTTTTTGTCAGTTATTTCCGACTAAATCGTATTTTCTATCTCTAGAAGATGTAATAAGTTTCTGGAAAATATTAGTTTCGTATCGTTATCGTTACGCGTGACTTTTCCTTTCGATCGTATGCCACAGTTTCGGGGCTAACTTGCACCGTTTTTTAAATCATCAATCAAACGCGTCAATGTCTTAAATTTAAATTTAAATTTAAATTACGCGTTACGGTTTCAACCGACTCGTATCTTCCTAGCGATTTTCTTACGAACGAGGATGCAGAAGAACGGATTTCTTGTTTCCATCGTACGTAAACATTTTCCTCGAACGCTAAAAATCATCCGGATCGAAGCCAAAGCTTAAGACGTAAAGAATCGATGGATCGGAGCACGGTTAAACGCGGAATTTGCATCGCGAGTAAAATGCATTCTGTTTTCCTTGATCGATAGTATGAAAGTTGATCGATGTAGTATGAAAACGTTGCTGTCTATTCGATGTTTTCTCGTATCGAGTATCAGTGTTTTTCCGCTATCGAACCAACGGAAACGCCGTTCAGATCATAAATTTCGTTCTTGAGACGAGAGATTTATATGTTAACGATTTTCCGCCGGCAGATACATCTCGAGTGGTTCCGCTCTTTCGTCTTAGCACGTGCAAAAGTAGCGATCTCAGGTTCGTTGTTCTCCGTTGCATCGGTATAACGGTATGTGTATGCTTAACGGCAAACGATGTTCGAGTATCGTGTGTTCGCGTGATTTTGCGATCGTGAGACACGCGTACGCACGATGGCCGAATATAATAGTACTACCGATGGCCAAATAATACGCATACTCCTGAGGTGGAATTTAATTTAAACCAGAAAGTATTTTTAACATGTATGTCAAGTATACGATGTCCATAGGGATGGATCGTACATACCAGTGCAACGACGGCAATATCGAAGATATAAATAGAGAAAACCGTTACGATAGAAATAGGTAATACGACGTATCGCGTAACTATTTCGTTTCGACTCATTAGACCCGTAACACCTCTATCGTCGAGTCATTCTCGCCTCGTCGAAGGATGCGTGCGTTTCCACGAAGATTTCTTTTTCTTACGCTCGTAATAATCGAGCAGCTCGTAACTACGCTATGTCCATTGTATGTGCAAATTTACATCGTTACGAATATGATTTGCTTCGCCTTCTAAATTCTCGGACAAGATTCACGACGCGATGCAATCGATACTATGAAAAGTATATCGTAGCAAGGTATGCTGGATTTATCGTCGATCGTTCCTACGAAAGCAACCGTTCTATCGTTTGGTTAACGAATGAAAAATTCGACGTTTTCGGGAATATGTAGCAAATTCTTTATTTATATACCTCTGATTCGGACAAACATTCACATACATATAATTTCGCGTTGACTCGATAAATTGGATTTAAAGGTAAACGACTTTACGAGAAAATTAACGATCGATCAACATTAATTTCATCTGTAAAAACTTAGTTCGATAAATCATTAATCCGTAGTGTATTCACTTTGCTTTCGACCGGGACAAGAGTCCACGCGCAGAAGAAGAGGAAGGAGAGGAAGAAGAAGAGGAAGAGGAAGAAGACGAAGAAGAACAAGAACAAGAAAACAGAGAGTACTCCGAGTAGTCGCAAACGGAATAGCAACCATCGGAACAATAGGAACAGCAACTATCGGAACAATAGGAACTACAGTAAGACGATTCGTCGGAGCAATCGGAATAACTGTCGTCGTCCTCGGAGCACGAACTGTCTTCTGGAAGAAAAAACGCGTGAAGTAGATAAACATAATATATACGTTGTGTTCGTAAAGATTTCGAAAAGCAACAGGATACCTGGTAAATAACCCATTTTCTTAATTATACGTGTGACGTGATGAATATACGTTTCCATGGTCCGATCTACTTTTCTTTCGATCCGTCGTATCTTTCCTTTGTAACGTCTTCGGCATTGTTTCAGTAAATGCTTCTCTTTTCCGATCCGCTTCGTCTCTATCGTGCAAACAATCGATTACTCAGAAACGACGTAACGAAAGAGTTGCACGATCGAATGTGAAAACAAACACGATCACTGGTTTACCTGCCGTTGCCACATCTTTATCGTGTTTCTTGCATCTTGACGCTGTCTTCATCGATAGGTCCGATGTTTTGTTACTTCCACGCTTCTTCTTTTTCTTTGCTTTCTCCGTCTTTTTATGCTTGCATTTTACCTTTTCCTCCTTACTCTCGTCCTTCTTAGTAGCGGCATTATTATTGTTGTCTACATCCTTTGTCACGCAAGCATCTCTCGCGCTGCAGTAGTTCGTCGAAGCGTTACTCCTCACGGAAGAATTAGACGCCGAAATATCGCGCTCCGTATCAGTGGTAGCGTCCTTGCCGATGAGATTGTCCTGTTCGGAAGCTTCGTCGCGTCTCGGCGTACTTGTTCTAAACGGTGACTTTAAATCCGCGCTCTTCGACAGATTCGCGGATTTCGTGGTCGCGTCTTTTGCCGTATTTTCCATTTGATCGTTCATCGAATCTGTATTTTCCGCTTCGCGTTGTCGTTTCGTCCCAGACGGATCGTCGACGATTCTCTGCTTTTCCTCGTTTTTACACTTTCCGCTTCTTTTATCGGGTATCGTTGCTCTCGATTTCTTCACGGTTACTTTTGGGACATCTTCCAACTGCTGCGAATAAGTTTTTCGATTCTTTAGTATCGCCTATATCGTCCTTTGATACCTTTGTCGCAAGTCGGAGACACGAAGAAAAGAAAAAGCTTCGCTTTCGCTAACCTTCTGCTCTTTGCTCGTCGATATTTCCGCCTTGCCACTCTTCTTCGCGATTTCCTTTTTACGCTCGTTTGGTTTTCCACCACCGCCTACCGGCTGATCATCCAATTTCTTCTTGGGCGATTTTTCTTCGTTCGTTCGACTCGCTCCACGGTTACGAGGCGATCTTCCGGACGATGTCGCTCGTCTTTTCCCCGGCGTCGAATTATCTGTTGTTAAAGCGGGGAATAAAACGCGCCTTTCGTGGAACTACGAACGAGATATTTTTCGCTTACCTACGGGGGTGAGTTTCGGTTCGAGCCTCAGCCGTTCGTTAAACTCGTTCAAGATATCTTGCGTAAAGTTTTCTTGCACGAAATCGTCGATCTGTTTCCACGGATCCGTTTGCAGAATTTGATCCACGTCGAGAATACCGTCGACCGCGGGAAACGAAAGCGAAGCTCTTCCAAGAATCTTCCTGCGACTCATCTAGAAGGGAAGACGATGAGGGAGAAAGGGCCGTTTCGCTCGAATTGCGAAGAACTCGCGTGGAATTGGACCGCAAGCTGAGATTAGTGGAATCGAAGTTGTTCTTAAACGAAGTCAACCGCCGAGGTATCCGTTTCGCGGTGTAGAGACGAAAGGAAACAAATACAAGATAGATTTTGCTCGTTTGCTTACTCGTAACGCCCGTTCTACGTCAAACCGTGTATTTTCGGTTTTCTCTGTTTCGAGATGAAAACGAACCGATGCAAGCCGTCGGAGGCAGCGTGCGCGAACGCGAATCCACGTCGAATAACGACTAATTTAAGAATCGTGAAAACCGAGTCGCGTGCTGTTAGTTCCAACGAAAATTCGATCGTTACTGATTCGAGCGTCGATCGTCTAGCACACCGATTATCACGAAAGGACGTTACTTGCGCCCCGATTTGTTTGTCGTATTAACGACTATTATGAGACGTTAATACGACCGTACGATTCAAATCGATGGATCAGTTGGCCGTTTGAAGCGTACAACGAGTTATCTCGTTAAGGGTCAACACCGTATCAACGCATAATTTCATTTACTGTTGCTTTTTTTTTTTTTTTTAATGTTATGGTTACGAAAGCCGACCGACAAATTGTTTCACACTTCTTTCGTCGTTGATCCTTGATTTAGCGAAATTTCAAGGAATTGAAATAGTTACGTCGTTAGCGAGAACCGTCTGTTTTTAAATCATGGTATATTTTTTCTTTCGCTTTATGTAAGTGTTTAAATACTTTGGCCAGCGCCGCTTGTAATTGTATTGCGGGCGTCGGATAGATAGAAGACGCGTACACGGCAGAGGAGTTTATTTTTAGCGATATCTGAAAAGCGTGAGAGACGTCGATCAAATTTTCCAATTTCCTCGTCGACGGAAGCGCGTAAATGCCGACGCGATCGTCGTCGTTGGACAACGGCTGAAAGGAAAGTTGGATACGATGGCGAGAAATGTCAAGGTACACGGACGAGGTGACGTCACTTCTTCCCTGTAAGTTGTCCGAGTTTACGCCAACGGGGGACTAAATCTCGCTTATAATAGCGGGTAATCGCTTGGAAGAGGGATAAAACGACGTCACTTTTCCAATGACCATACGTTACGCCTATGACACTTTACGATATGCCGTGATATCGGTTCTGTCCGCCGTGAACGTCGTTGTACCTTAAAAGGTGGAAAGAGACGCTTTACGAAATGAGCACGGCGTAGGAGTGAACTCGATTATTATTCGTCTGCGCGTAGGAACTGAGAAGGAGAAAAGAAGGGGACTGAAATATGCAGAAGACTCGTTCCACGTTGTTACAAAATTTCAAAGTATACCGCGAACTTCTGTTTCTTAATTTACTTTTCCACGGTTCTAGATAAATAGACGTAATCGCGAAGTCCGCCGCTGCTCGCCAATCATTTATTTCCACTCGTTGAAATAATATTTACGTACAAATTCATAAAATATTTTCCACGTTTTGTCCCGTACGTGCGAATCGATGCAAATATCACGCATTCGAACTTATTAGTTCGATAGCTTATTTATGTAGCCGATATATATCGATATCGAAGAAGCGGCGAAAGCTCTATATAGAATGGCAATTCTCTGCGCTCGCTTTTCCTCTTCTCGTCGTTTCGATTTTACACACCGACCTCTTCCCAACGCGGATCTGCGTTTTGTCGAGCGATCGACGCGTCTCACGGATATCGAAGCGCGCAAGGAAACAGGTAAATAGTTTCTCAGGATATCGAGAGAGAGAGAGAGAGAGAGAGAGAGAGAGAGATGCGATCGAGACAAAAAAACAATTCGACGAAGACATTGCCCCGGGCGCGACTGTCGTGGCCGCTTGACTCGTCGTAATAAAACGTCGATTCATGTTGTGGGACCAGTGTCGCCACGTATATCCTACGTATACGTATAAAAGTGCCGTGATCGGTGTGTGTCGGATCTGGAAACAGTTGAACGCGGTTGTTCGAGCGAACATGATCGAGGTAAGACATCGACACGATCCAGAGCACCGAACATTTTCAACTTTTCGATCAATATTGTACTCGGTCTTAGTTGTCACGTTCGTTTATTTGAAGGTTCGTTTCGCGATTACTTTTTCTCGGTCGTTTATTTTTTCATCTCGCTACTTTTCTTTGTAACGCGTGCCAGTCTCCGACGAGTAGAATTCGAAAATACTAGATCGTTATTACGAAGATTATACCTTTACGTATTTTGTGCGCATATCGTACGATTTATTAGCTCTCGTTCCGATTAGTCGAGCCAAGTTTGGATTTAAGCGTGAAACTTCGAAAATATCTCGATCTACGCGAGCCTGTTATTTTCGACTTGAAGTATCCTTTTACGTTTCTACGTTCGTTCCCGTTGCTTTCCGGGTGTTACTTTCTTCCAGTCGTTTGAATGTAATCAACTTGTCCGATCCGAACGAGCCTTTGTTATTCAAATTTATAGACGCGACACGCGAACGTTGATTTCCATGGTCGACGCGCGTTTGCGCGCTTTCGTCGCGCGTTTTGTGATCAATGCGAAAAAGGAACTCGGCATTTTCCAATCGTTGCAGATTATTGCGTTGTTTATCGGAGTGGTTGGAACTTTGGCGGCTCCCAGCCTGGCAATGCCCGAAGCGTCTGGAACGCCTGGAATTTTTTACGCCCCTCGAAGCGTCACGGAGGATACGGAAATGGTCTCGTCCTTGCCGTTGCCAGGCTCCGAAAATCTGGACGAAAAAGCAATACCCTTGTCGAAACTGGTTGATCGCCCTTTTTCATCGGCCGGACAAAACTTGGTGGAAAAGACTCAAATACCTTCTGAACTCCCTGGAACGAAAAATCTCGCCGAAAAACGGATTCCCGAACCGGTCTTGAGAAAGTTATATCAACGGCATCAAGACGATTAGCGACCGTTTTTGGACGACGTAATTTCGCAGAGATTGCAGAGGAGTTTGTCGAATTGTGAAAAGGAGATTTAGAGTCAAGTATCGATTAAAGTAGCGTTTCGTACAATTTCAAATATCGTTTTTTTAATGTCACCGAATAGACGATACCGATTTCCTGGACCGTGTTCCTTCGCACTTCCCTCGGTCCTCTCCGTGCACTTTTATCCTCGGTATTCTTCGTCGAAAAACTTAGTATATTTATCGTTTCTTCTTGAGTTTAAGTTTTAAAAAAAATTTTTTTTTTAAGTTTTTTCAAGTGTCGTTAAATGGTTAAATATAGTTAGATATACGAAATAGTTGCCGGTTTTCTCGCCGTGATATGATTTTCGTCTAATCTTAGATGGATGAAAGCGAAATCTGCCTTATCCGAGGAAGCATGGCGTCCTATAATACCGACTTTAAAAAATCACGAGTTTCTCACGTCCTTTGTGATTTACTCTAGCGAGCTATAAATCCAGGGCAAATAATTTCTGAAATCACGCGACAAATTAACGATTTCTTTGGTGCTTTCCTATTTCTCTGCCGTTTCTTACACGCGCGAACCGACCGTCGAGTCGACGATTTTGATCGAAAATAGTTGGACGTCTGCCTCCTGGTCGGAAGGTGACGCTATCAGTTACGTTCGAGAATCGTATATCGAAAAATCGACCGGTGTTAAATCTTTCGCGGTACGTAGCGATTTTTATACTCCGGTGAAAAATTAACAGCGGAAAGGACTGGAAAAATTGTTTTTCATCCGATTTAAAGCACGCTGCCCACGTTAATTCGTTTTCAGAGGTGGATTATCACACGCCGGGCTAACAGAGTTGTCAGTTTATTGAAAAAAGATGGAGGTTAATTCGTCTCGAACAGAATCCCTTTGTCCCTTGGATCCGTTCTCTTTGTCACGAGGTTTGCTAACAGCGGAAAACTCGAGCGAAAAGGCTCGAGAGTGTTGAAAAGGAAGAATAGAGAAGAAAGGGCCGAGAGAAGGTATTTTCCTGTTACTTTTGTAATTTCACGGTTCTTTCTCCGAGCAGGTAGAGAGGGGGGGGGGGGGGGGCGGGGCGGGGGAAG